CTCTCGGCAAACGAAAACCAAACTCTACAAGTCCCTCATCGTTCTCGTCCTGCTATATGGTGCGTAGGCAAGGCCGATGACAACATCTGATGTGTTGGCCCTGGGAGACATCGAGAGTAAAGTTTTGCGAACGATTTATGGTCCTTTGCGCGTTGGGGAAGGCGAACACCGCAGCAGACAATAGAACGATGAGCTGTACGAGCTATACGGCGGACGTTGATTTAGTTCAGCGAATCAAGAAGCAGCCGCTGCGCCTGGCAAGGTCATGACGTCCGAGCGTATAAAAGCACTCCAGTTTTGAAAGTTTTCGTTGCAGTACCCTCTAGTGGGAGCAGAGGAAGAGGAAGACCACCACAACGTTGGAAGGATCAGGTGGAGATCGATCTGGATTCACTTGGTATTTCCAACCGGCGCCAGACCGAAGCAAAAAGAAGAGAGGAATGATGCGCTAATATTGATTCGGCTATAAAGCGTAAACAATGCCAATGCCAATAAAGAAGAAGAAGAATAAGAAGAAGAAGAAGAGAAAGGAAACTGTTTAATGGCACTTCCTGGCAAGAGAATTGGTTACCACTTGAAAGGCTTTCTTGTCTGAAGAGACGAAGAAAAAGGCGTGTCTGTTAAGCACCACTTGTGTCACTGTCCAGTCCTATGAAATACACGACATAAGTTTCTTGATTGCCACGCTGTAGTAACTGCAGCCGGCGCAGGCGATATCCAACAACGGTAGCCCAATGGGCCTACAGACTGAGCAGCAGCCGCATCAACCCAACTGAGCTCATCCACTGTTAGGTTCATTGTTCACGCTTGGAAAAATCCACTAAATTCCAAAATTATCCAAAAGTTAGTTTCCTGTGACTTTCTCCATGATTCCTGGAAAGTTTTGAAAGCAAAAAAAAATTTCGGAAAGTGAATAGAGGACTGATCTATTCGAAGATATTTTTATTTATGATTTCATTTACTTAAAATTCAGTGCTGAAATTTGCTTAGAGTAACATGAAAGTCCGGAAAAAGGACCAAGAACCGACCTATTCAAAAGAAGCCGTGTACTTTTATTTCCGGGAAGTGGACCAAGGGCTGAACTATTCGACAAAAAAGATTATTCATGGTTTCATTTACTTAAAGTTCGATGGCTTTGATGTGCAGAAAAACTCCTCTGCTCTCCAGAAAGTGGACCAATGTCAATGGTAAAACCAAAATTGTTGTAATCCCACAAGTATTGAGTGAATGAAGTTATGATAAAAAGATATTCCATGCATTCGATGTGTATGTGCGACAGCGAAGCATTGCGGGGTACAGCTAGTATACATATATAAATATTTATTTTATACATACCTATGTACATATATATGGTGTGTTAGCATCACCGCATAGATAGATGCATACACGTCTATGTATGTGAATAAGTCAGTATATATGAGAGCATTTAAACACAGCACGCGCTGGTGATCACGTCTCACCACAAATCTCAGTAAAAACCATTCAATGTTCACTTGTAAATCTCGTTGATTGGTTATGAATCTCATTATTATTGGCAATTTTGTGAGCATATTCGTACATAGCTACATTTGCTTGGGTATTTTGACATGTTATCAAACAAGTAAGACAAATTTCTTTCCAAAAATAGGCGCTAAAGAAGATATAAACCGATTTTAAAGGTAAAGGTAAACAAACAAAAAAACTAAAATTAATAACGTTAAATATTTTGTGTTATTCTCAGATATGTTTGTAATATAAAACATTGCATTTACATACATACTAGGTCAAGTAAAAAGTTCGTTCGGTTTTTTTTTTTTTTTTTTTTTTTTTTTTTTTTTTTTTTTTTTTCAAAATATGATAAATTTGTGTAAGTTTGTCTGATTTACATCAAATATGCGCCGTTTTGTTCGTATATTTGTGGCCGACGAGATGCCAACCCCTCTATACCCCTCTCGTAGAAGTCTGCGCCCCTATTGGCAAAATACTGAGAGAGAGAATTTTCACATGCCTCTCTTGAGGCCAACTTCTCACCATTAAGTGCGTTCGCCATGGACAGGAAAATAAGGTAATCACTGGTGCCTGGTCCGGACTATAAGGTGGTTGCATTAGGACCTTCCATCCGAGCTCCTGGAGCTTCTGGCGCGTCACCACAGACGTGTGATGGAACACAATTCGGCCTCTGTTGATCAGAGATGGACTCTTCTGGATGAGTGCTGCCTTCAAGCGATCCATTTGTTGGCAGTAGAGCACCGAATTGAGCGCTTGGCCATAGGGGAGAAGCTCTTCTTGCCAATCCCACCAAACACACAGCAAAACCTGGTGCATCTTTGACATCGAAATTACCGGAACGGAACCTAGCAAACCACTTTTGCGCTACAGGTTCCTTTAAAGTACCGGACCCATAAGCAAAATAAATTTTTTCAGTCGCTTTGGCTGCTTTTTCGCCTTGATCGAAGAAAAATTGTAAAATATAGCGAATTTTTGCACTTTGCTGGTGTTCATCTTTGAGGAGCGCTCACAAAATACTGAGTCAATCAATCGAAAAGCCGTCAAAGTCAAACTTTTAGCGCGAATAAAAACGTTTTCAGCGCCGTATTATATGACATGATGAGACCCGTAACACTAGTACTATGGACAATAACGCCATCTCTTAGATAAAAACCAAACGAACTTCTTACTGTAGCTAATATAAGGTTTTCCAATGAGGGATTTCATTTTGGTATTCAAAGAAACTTCCGTCATTTTCGATAAAGTATGGTCCAAAGTCCAAAGCTTTACTCTAACTGCACACTTTAACCGCACTAAACAGTTACAACTTGAGAATGGAGAGGTTTTTCAACAATAAATCATGGGTTCTCCGAGTCCCAGTTGTTATAGGTTTGTTCGTGATACAAAAGTTCTATAAGGTAGGTAGGTAGGTTAAGGTAGTTTACTCAGAAATGTTGGATCTTACCACTTATAAAATTTTGAACTTGAAGGTTTTTGAACTATTTTTGGGATTATCCTTCAAGCAGATGCTATAATGTTCAATACACGAATGGATCTATTAAAATATTTGTTTCAAGCCGTTTTTCTAGGCAGTAGAAGTAAGAAAAGTATTTGCTAGGTATTAAATAAAATGGGCAGAGTTGTCATTTTTTACGTGATTTTGAAACCTAGGCTTATAGGTTTTCTCAACTGCATACGAAATGTCGGTGGTTTGAGTTCCTGGTCATAGGGACAACCAAGGAACTGCGAGGTCGATGAGCTGAATGGATAGGGATAATGATAACCCTGGTTAGCTCTGCTGTCCGTTATCGATTTCTCGGAAATATCTTTTCCGATTGCTTAGCTGCTTTGCTACCATCTCTCATTAATCTCCCGAGCTTCGTAAAATACGCCAAATTGTTTGAGCATCTGGAGGTGTGCTCATAGAACCAACATATAAAAATTCTCAACATATTTTTTGATAAAAATTGTAGATTTTTTTTAAGAGCAGAAGGTAGCACGAAAAAACCGAAACATGTTTAAAGTCACATAGATATGAGGGCGGCTGAGTAGAGAGAATGAAACTACCTTTAAATTATTATATCATGAGTTTGCTTACTGCCCCAGCCATCGAGATGATTTTCCAATGAAATTTTCATAGTGAATTTTAGTAATTTCAATTACGTTGTTGTATCTTTCAGTTTTAAAACTGACGTTGCTTTTACTTGTCAAATGTCAAAAAGAATTACAGCTTCAAAAGTAACATCTAACGGAATAGCAGACTCTTCTAATATAAATATACATATATGAAAGTAGTATATGTATTTAAGAAAGCTGTCTATTTCTTTTTGGTATGAAAAAAAATTAATTTATACAACTCATAACCAATCATAAATATTAAAATGTATGTATGTACATATGTGCGTATGTATATATAATATAATGTATTTATATTATATGTATAAGGCCAGAGAGTAGCCGTAACAACAGGGTGTTGCTAAAACAAAAGTTTAAACACTAAACAGTTTGAAAGCCATACTATGGGGCTTGTCTTTACTAAAAGCATTTCATAGCCATGGAAGCTACGAATATTACTATGAGTTCTCTGGCATCAATAGAAAAGCTTTATAAATTATCGACCAGAATGGTTGTTGCCTAAAAGTATGCAATAATTCCCAGTTGTATAGTTTAAGTGAAAGAAATATACAACAAATTGCTAGACTTAACTGTATATAAGTGTACATTTTGTTACGATTTTGCTAAATCAACCTCGATGATTTCGCGAATCCTTCGGGTACGATCTCTGGATTGTTAAATAAAAATCGCCAACTTAATTTGCAGTTTCTCTCGTTACAAAGAATTTATCTAATGTCCTTTATTTACTCCGTAACTCACAATTCAATTACAATGCACTTTACTAGCTACAATCACTTGCATAAACTTTCACAATTTATCTTACTTAAATGTAATTTCCAACGCGTTTACTTTACGACTCAAATAATTTATTCCGCTATACTCTATGTTGTCGCAAACGAGTTCACTTTGTAACTAACTTGACTTGGCAGCTGAGTGTCGCTCTTATATAGCAGTCGGCTGCTTGTAGACGAAAGTGTAGAATAGTCGAGTTGTTTGCTATCGAAGGTTCTCGTTTTATCGTTCTAGAATGTACTAGTTATCGGCTTCTCTCTTTCATCTAACAATCGACTCGCATTTTCGCAACAATATATTAAATTAGAATTGTACTTTTAATTATTTTAATAATGTAAAAAATGTGTGTTGTTTTATTACTTTTAGTGTCACTACTGTCGTTGTTGAAATAAAATTTGTTAAGCATTTATTATGAAAAAATTATCCCAAAAGCAAAGACCGCAAGTACTTGCGCCGAATGTCATTTTTTGTTTTTTTTTTATTATTATTATTTTTCAATTATAATACATGTCTAATTTATTTTTAGACATTTTTTCTACAAAACATAAAAAAATGTTTTTTGTCTTTTGTCAAATTTTTTAAAAAAATTTTTAAATCAAAAGCATAAATTGTTCTTAGGTAAGCAACTTTTTTAATTAACAATTTTTGTTTTTGCGCTGTTTCAGCTTTGGATTTCATAACAGAAATTTTCTTAAATAAAATTATTCTTTTGGAAAATGACAATCCGGTATGTTAGTCAAATGAAATTGTATAATTATCACCAAGTACGTAGTGGAAGATGCCAAAATCTGAAAATAAGTAAAAAAAAATTATTATAGAAGGTAAATATTTGTATGTATAACCTAAATAAATGACAATATCTAAGAAAGAATTTACGCCAGGTGAGTAAATTCCACTAAATAAATTAATCAAATATAGATAATAAAATGAATCTCGAAAAAGTTAACCGTAATGTTCCATGGGTAATTTGCTTTTTCGAATAATTTACATTTTCAAGTGGTTTCCAAAATAGAAAGTAATACAATAATAAATATGGGTTTCAAGAATGTATTGAATAACTTAATTTTTACAATTGTACATTTAACTTGTTTTTTTTTTTTTTTTGTCTTTTTCTGATTTAAGAATCAAAATGGCAACACGAATCATATGTGGCTTCAAGACTTTTTCAATCGGAACATTTCGAAAAAGGCACACGCTCGAAAAAGTTAACTAAAGAGTATACTTCTTAGAACCTTACGTGAACGTTAAAATACGGCAAACTTAACCAAGCGTTTTACTTTTTCACGATGCTGTATTTTCAAAAACATTTTTGTTAGACTGCATACGAATATTTATTTAATTTATTTTTGATTATTATTTGAAGACAGTTTGCGTTTACAAAAACTCCTTCAAATTAATGTAGATTAATAATAATCGGTATGCAGTAAAGTAGATAAATATTAATTTTAATTAGCCTAAAAATATGCTACAAAATATTTTAATTGCAAATCAAATTTTCCTACGCGGCACACTGTTCATACAGGCCAAGTTAGTTGGATATAACTGGTGCTTTACATACATGGTGCAATTTTTCTAAAAATATTATTATAAAAATTGGTATTTAAAAATAATATAAAAAATATGAAAATAAAATTTCTATTGCAGATCTTCTTATTAAAAAGGAAGCCTCTTAATGAGCTTTCTAACATTTTTTCTTTCCGAGATTGTGCTTCATTTAGAAGTAATAGTTTCTCGAACGGACCAGACGAGCAACGAGAAGACAAATGTTGTCACTCTAAGCGTATTCTTTAACATCTTAATGAATGGTCAGTTCATCTCTTATTCTTTTAAAGAAAGCAAATCTCAGGGCTTCATAGCTATTTAAGCCAAAAAAAAATCCGTTTAGCTTTGGTTATTCGTTGCCAGCTTTTTTCTTTGTAAGGTCAACTTTGTTGTAATTAGAAGAAAGTTGATTTAGTGTCTATATGAACAACTCTTTTCGGTGAGTTATGTGAGAATTAGCCATGTAGAAATTAAGCTCTCTCTATACAAAATTTTACTTGGTTTTGCATCACCGAAAGCGACCCAGTAAAATTCAGTAAAAATTCTAACTCTCCATCAGACCACCGAATGGAACTAATTTTACACGCTCAAAAGGAAAGGACAAAAGAAGAAGGATCCTTGGGAAATCTGCCAGAACAGTTATATAAAGGAGCACACATTTGTGCCTGGACTTTCAGGATTCCCACTGGTGAATGAACGTCTCACCGTTATCGTTAACAAAGGGAACACACTCCGTTGAACGGGAAGAACGATGTGGCCAAAGATGCCGTCAAAATTGTCATTGTCGACTTTAACATCGAGGTGAATAAAAGAATTAAATGCGTTATATCGGTTAGGAGTTTCCGAACTCTACATTGAGGCTCAAGGTAATTCACCAAGCTACTTGGCTGCCAGCTGAGCTATTCAAATGCGGCAGCACAAAACTGACAAGATGCATGCATCAGCTTATTGCAGGAATATGGTGGGACCAAAGCACGGAAATGTGATCTTTTCAATCCACAAAAAGCCACAATCTGTCTCAATTATCGTAGTAGGCACCTCCTCACTATCGCATAACAGGACGAGCTGTATGGTTCATATAAATGCTTCTTCAGATTTAGTAGACCCACCATTGACCTGATATTTGCCATTCGCCCAATCGTCTAAAGGAGGAGTTTGATATCACGCTAATCTCTCTATATACAAAGATTAAACTCTGCAAGCCGCTCAACGCTCTGCACCTTACTACATAATGTAGCGACCTGAATGATGACACATCCAATAAGGTTAGCCCTTGACGTACTAACTGTGGAGTACACCGATGGTCCGATGAGGTGTACGAGATATACAACACCATTAAATTAGTACAGTAAAGAGACATAGACTAAGCTTTCTATTTCTTGGAAATTATGGGCCCAATTGCTTAAAAATACTCAACTAATGAAATGAATGCCTGTGTGAACAGCTTGAGATTTAGTTATATCTTCAAAGAAAGGTATCTAATTCCAAATGCCTGATTAAGCATCTTTGGAAAAGTTAATTTTAAGACATTTTTCGCTAGCGCTTTTAATCTAGCAAGCTTAATTGCTCAATTAGTTAATTGTGTGCCTGTGTGAACAGCATTTAAATTGGTTTGTATTGCTTAATCGAAATATCAATGAAGAATTCGAATTTCGCGAAATAAAACACTTTGAAAAATTATACTCAGAACAAAGGAATTGGGTGGCTTGATGAATTTGGCGGAGAGGCTCTAAAAATATCGCCGAGGTCATACTAACCGACGTAATTAACTTGTAGTCCATATCAAAAAAGCCAGCTGCATTAAAATTCCGTTTTCTCTGCATAACTTCCATGGAGAAAATCTGTAGAATTTGATAGAAGAGTGAAGCGTTTGACGCCTCATTTGAAGAAACACGCATTTTATGCAAAACGGAGACTGTGTTCTCCATCTGAAATTGAATAAAAAATGTGAATAATATAAAATAAATCGATAAACATCCCAACATTTCGTCTCAACATCCGCTTACCGCTCTCGACGTTCTGCTGCATATCATCACATTCACCGCAATCGCCATAATTTGCACCAAAATCCAGGCAACAATGAAAACGATTTCGTAGACGTGTATCTTCAACGTGTGACTCACCAGCGAGAATAAGTTATAGCTCTGCACCGTTATCACGCCGAAGGAGACAGCCGTGAGACAAAGCAGATGACAACCGAAAATGCTCAACACCAAATCGACGCCATCACTCACATTCGAATAGATGGTCAACAGCTTTTGCAAAATATCCACATTTGGCTCCTCGGTCAACTCAGCCTCGACAGCAGCAGACGTCGCGACAGTCGCCGTAAGTGGCACCTCACTTACCGAATTCATTTTTCTCACCGTCATTATACGCCTACGGCCGCACGCAAAATGTGTGTCCCGATTGAATTTACACAATTTATTATTGATCAGTTCGAATTTCGTCTTAAGCAGACGCATCAAATGACAGAATTGGAACTGTTTGAAGATGAGCAGACTTATGGGTGCGAAGCATATGAACCAGAAGCAAGCTGACATGGGCATAAAACTTTTCTCATCCGGCTGTATGATTATACAGTTGACCATCGATAATGGAAAAGCGATTAACAGCTCCAAGCCGAGTTGCCAAAATAATTGTTTGCGTAGCGTCTTATAATCGAAATCGATTTCCACGATATCACGCAGTCGCTGGTCGATTTTCATAATTAGCGCACACAAGCGGCACTGCTCCTCCATGTGCGTCCAAGAAGTTATCCAGGCCACGAGGCCGAGTGTGAAGAGTGTGTATACTTGCGCCCAGCCGGTAAGTCGTGAGATGCCATCGCCGCGTTTGTAGTCTGCCGACTGTAGTTGATAGACGCCGCTAAAGAAACCCACTGGGAATTGAAAGAAATGCAAAGAGCTTTAATAAAGAAGCTCAATATGTTGGGAAATTGTTTTAACACGAAAGATGTTGGAATATATTTCTTAATGCCGATTAGGAAGGCCTCGCACCAAATTACCCTTTATTATGGAAGTTATTTTAGCGATCAGAAATAAGTGGAGGCCAAACAGTCCCGTAAGCCGAAAGTCTTGCTTTGGGTGTAGACTTTTCCTCACTGCAGCTCGCTAGCAGTGTCCCTTAAAAAGTTTGGAGCGTTTCTTTTTTTAACCTAATGGTTCAATATGTCTGAAAAGATCAGCTCTGCAGGCTTAAAAATCCTTCAACTCAAGACAATTAGGTTTATCCAAAACTTTGTGGAAAAAAATTTGCATACTACGGCATTGCCGTTGGTCCAAGACTGAGAAGGAAGCAGCCCAATGTTAATTCTATGAACTCATGTTTATAAGGACTTTTAGAATAATATCTGCTTAATTCAAAGTAGCTGTGAGTATATACTGTAATGTCTTTGCGGCTTCAGTGTTTACCGCTAACCGATGGTTATCATTTCGTGCTACCAAAGGGAGGGTCTTAGATTCGAATACTAATCACACCTACATTTGAATAAAAAACATTCGCCATTCGGCAGAGAGGGTTAATCGTTCCGTGTATATTTCTGACACAAACAAAAGTTCCTCATAAAATGCGATAAGCGGCTTGGAGGCAGCCTAAAATTTACAGATCCTTCCATTTTTGGATAAAACATAAGGACGTACAAAAAAAAAAGTTTTTGAAATATATATAAATGTGTTATAGATGAGATTTCTTGATTAGTCTACGAAAGAGTTATTGTGATATCAAGGTTAAAGAAAATTTTCTGAAAGGTCAAACCTAGTAGTACCTCAACCAGCCATTCATTAGAGCCAATGCACTTAATTTCCTATTGCCCTTCAATGGGAGTTGCTCGATTGCAGAGGGAGATATGTACCTTAGAATTATCACTGTAGCTGACAAAAAGCCAAAGTAAAGCAGACCAGCGTCACCGATCAGGGCAATGGAAGAACTACAACTCTCAAGCGTCATATCAATTAAATGTGCCGGTATTTGGTCTGAAAAAAGGAGGTTATTGTGCACTTAGTTAATGGAGAAATGTCTGACGTTCCTCTTAGCGCAATTATCATTATGCGTGGTTTGGGTGCCGTGTTCTTCGAGGATCCTTCTAATACTCACTATATATTGCCTTCGGTGCTGATTCCGACTGGCCATTGTTTCATTGGAGTCCAAAACACTTATTGCAGGTGCTGAATGGAGGCAGACAGAGTTGGAATGATCTCAGTAGTTTCTGGCTGACTGCCTTGTCTATCCGAAACTATTCATATATTACAGTTTAGGACTTTCACACCCTTGTGTGCTACAAAGTACATACCAAAAAATTTTCTAAGAGTGACCTTAGCTTAACTTGAAGCAATATTATAAGTGGACATCGACTGAAGGGTTTTTTTTCTGTCAAAAATTAAATCCCCTTAACTAGTGTTAAGGAATTAAAAAAGCATTTACTTTTCAGTCACAGGAATATAAATTAATTTGGGGGGAGTGGGGGGTAAGATCAGCCAGAAGCATTGCAAGAGCTGTCAATGCATCCAGAAAAAGGCAGAGTTGGGTGCGTTGGTTAGTTTATGGCCTGGTGGCATCATTGGGCCGTCCTTTTTTCAAAAATGATGCGAGTCGTGGTTTCAACAAGAAGATGCCACATGCCACATAGCACGCGTTACAAAGGACTTATTGAGAGGCGAGTTCGGTGAACATTTTATTTTACGTTGGGGATCGTTCAATTGGCCGCCTATATCGTGCGATTTAAGGCCTTTAAACTATTTTTTATGGGGCTTCGTTTTGGAGGACAACATTGAAGCATTTATTCGTGAGATACTGGCCGGATGGACCATTTGAGGCGCAGTCACGGTCAACATTGCCACGAAATAATCTTCAAACATTAAATTATATGAACCATTTTATCGATTCAAATAAAGATTTCATGAATTTTTCTGAATTTTATGTTTTTTTTGAAAAATTTCCCATGGGTCACGCTTTATATCAATGGTACCAAAAGAGTATGCAAATCCAATTTTCTACCCAATTTCCCTAAATTTTTATAATTTAAAGTATATTTAAAAGCTCGAGCGAATAAATCTAGAGACTGCGCTGACTGAAACCACAAACCTGTAAGTTAGTATTTAATAAAACTATAAAAATTCTGCAATAAATTTGTTGTAATATTAATATTAATCTCAGAACTCCAGGGGAAATGGAATTTTATTGAAAACAAAAATGACTTACCAATTCAATATTAATAATGAAAAATTTAATTTAACATAATAAAAGCAATATTAAAATTTCATTTAGGAAAACATAACAACTAAAGTTTTTAAAAAGCAAAATTTCCAAGACTGATGGAAAAAAATCGTAAAAAATATATGTATAACAGTACCAATAATTAAATGAAAATCCTTAATAATAAATTAAAGATTAATTTTGATTTAATATCAGAAAATAAAAATTTAGTTGTAGCGAAAAAATATTAAATTAAAACGACATACCGTCATATATTGTACATATGTGTGTGTAGAATAAAAATAAAAATAATAAATTAAATACCTTTAATCCTGAAATTAATTTAGTATTTACATAACATATGTAGTTGATACCGGATTCAATAACGAATTTAACGCACATTCACTTCAATGGATGTGATTTATTTCTAAAACAATTTTAATGAATTTACAATGAATAAAATGATATACGTGCCTGTGTGCCTTTCCCGGTAGTCTATTAACGATTGAACTGATTTAAAAACGAACGACTCAAATACGGCGGGCGAATTCGCCTCAGCACAAAACGAACAGAAGAATAAGGGGAAAAACACATAGCGGCAAGTTTACAATATGGCCAGACTGGTTCAAATAGTTTTTATAACTCAAATACAAGGTGGCGTTCTGGGACAACCTAAAATAAAAAATATGAACTATAAAATCAAAAAAAAAAAAAAAAAATTAACAAAATTTTGATCGAAAATATTAAAATCACAGAAAAATATGTTGTTTTCACAACAAAAATTAAACCTTGGCTTTCCTTTTAAATCAAGTTTTATTAAAAAAATTAAATTAAATTAACACATGATTAGTTAAAAAATAAAAATCGTCAACTAATTTTTTTACTAAAAAAAAAATAATTATTATTTCGAAACAAAGAACTAAAATCGCTTAAAAAAATTTAATTTACAAAAATATCTTGATCTTATTTCCAAAAATTTCAACAGAAATTTTCAATTAAAAAAAAAAACATTTTAATAAGAAGAATTGAAATAAAGTAATGAAAAAAATATTTTCTTTGTTATTAAACAAAAATATTCAATTCATTGAAAAACATGCATTTAGCTTACTAAAAAACTCAAAACAAAGAAATATGATTGTCTCTCTACACAAATACAAAGCAGTAATTTATTGATTCCCAAGGATTCAAAACTTGGCATAAAATGGGTTTTCGGAACGTTTAAGGTCGAGTTAATAAAAAATCTGTCAAATCAAACATGTCTTGAAGAGACTGGAATGGACTTTCTTTTCGGTTTTTCTGCGAATGAGGAGCAAAAAAATGCCTTCCGCATCACCATTGTGTCGTCACATCAATGGTATATGCCACTTGCAGGTCACTAAAAAACTCTGCTCTAGTGAACCGTCGTCCACCCTGGAACGGCTTTCGCATTACTTCAGGGTGGTCTTCCATTATTCTCATTGTGAGATATCTCGTCACCTGCGTCCAGGTCCCGCTTTTTCGCTCGCACTACTTTTTCTGCGAACTCATTTACATTTACCCAGTTTGCTTCCTTTTGCAGATAATATTATCTACTTATAGTTCTTCAGCTGTGTTTTCAAGTCTGAGTTCTCGCGTCTTGCCAGCGAGTGCAATAAAAGATTTTATGCTCGGCGTCACCGTCGTTAGCATCGTTATATTGTAGATACATGCCGGATCTTCAGCTTTCCCTATTTTATGCAGATATTTCCT